CACCAAGGCCTATTTTCCAACCACTGATCCTTCCTCTTTGCTCCCAACCTTTGCATTCCAATCACCAGTAATGATCAATACATCTTGATTGCATGTTTGATCTATTTCAGATTGAAGAAGTTGGTAGAATTCTTCAATTTCTTCCTCACTGGCTTTAGTGGTTGGTGTGTAAATATGAATAATTGTGGTATTAACTGTTCTTCCCTGTAGGTGCATGGATATTATCCTATCACAGACAGTGTTGTACCTCATGACTGATCTGGATATGTTCTTTTTGACAATGAATGCAACACCATTCCTCTTCAATTTGTCCTTCCCGGCATAGTAAACCATGTGGCTGTCAGATTCAAAATGGCCAATACCAGTCTATTTCAGCTCACTAATGCCTAAGATATCGATGTTTATGCATTCCATTGTATTTTTGACAACTTCCAGTATTCCCAGATTCATACTTCGTATATTCCATGTTCCGATTTTCAGTGGATGTTTACAGCTGTTTCTCTTCAGTTTGTGTTGTGCCCCACCAGCAAATGAAGGTCCCACAGGCTTTTCTCCCATAGGCTTTACTCCATTCGCGTCATCACGGTCAACTCTACTTTGAGGAGACAGCTCTTCCCCAGTCGCATTTTCAGGGCCTTCCAACTTGAGGTTCTCACTTTCCAGCACTCTATCTGACAGTGTGTCTCTGCTATTCATAAGGTTTTCAGTGTCTAAATATTCGGAAGTAGTTCGTCACTCCTTCTTCCTAGTGTGTCTTCGTCTAGAAACTCATCTGAAACCTGTCCACCATGGGTGACCCTGTGCTATTATTTAAAATAGCCGTGGCATAGCTTCCAGAATCACATCAACTCACAAGCCACCACAGGACGACAGACTGACAGAGGAGTGGTGGCTTGTGAGTTGGTGGCTCTGATCAGTGAGGCCCTTTTTAATCTGCTCAGGTAAATTTGTGTCTTGTCCTTGAAGGGTTTCTTACCATGAAAATTATCAGTATTGTTTCTGTATCTTTATCTGTATTAATGAAAAGGAAACTATAATTCACAGAATAAAAGGTATTTTTAACTAAATAAAAAGTTAGTGTGGAGCAGCCTCACATTTGATTCTGTTTAATTTTTCCAAAACTTTTTTGTCATCTCAGAGTCCTGAACATTCTACCAACTAGTTTTTTAGTCTATTAGGATTTACTTGGCTTTATGAGTCAACTCTCTGTGAGGGGCTGGCGTGTCATGGGAACAGCACTGCCATGTGGCTCTGTTGTAAGGGCTTTGCTTTACGATTTACGCACCGTGAAGCGGCCGTGTGGATACACAAGAGGCTGTGGGCAGCGTGGGAAAACATGGGAACTAGTGGCACAGAGAGGGAGTGCTCAGCCTAGACTTGCTCCTGAGTGACCAGGGGCCCGGCAGGCAGCTCTAAACGCCCCAGCAGTGCGCTGTTGCTGGTGTGACAACAGTTTGGTAGATTTTACAATGACTGCTGTCTAATTATCAATTTTAAGTTGATTCAGTGCCTCTTAAGAAAAATTCCACACAAAACTCAAATTGTGAAGCAGTACCTCAGTGCCAGGCAGCCTCTTTGGGAGAGACTGTTCCCGTGTGCGTCTCTAAACCTGCTCATCCACTCTCACCAGGCAGCGGCGTAATCTGTGACAGAGATCAAGTGCTAGCTTGTCCCCTTTCCAGTTTGCTGCGGCATAAAACACTCTGTTTTAGCCTAATTACGTTTCTTAAGAATAGCTGTCTTTGTGCTTCCAAGCGATTTGCAGGAAGTTAAATTTGCATGCATTTATGTCCTTATTTTCTTGGGTCATTTTCCTGTTCAACAGCCAGTCAGTTGTAGAATTTGTGTTCTATTAGAAACGAATGGCTCATCCTCTCAGCTTTATTCTCTTAATACTGCTGCTGCATTTTCTGTTTCACAGGGAGCAATAGAAAAAGTGAAAGACAGTGATAAACTCGTTGCAACTAGTAAAATCACCCCACAAGACAAGCAGAACATGGTGAAACGTGTTGGCATCATGTCTTACGCGTTACAAGGTAAGATACGACGTTTATGAGTAATGGACATCCCCCCCCCCCCGCTGAAAAGTTTATCATTTGTCTTTGTGAAGAGAGATCCAGCTGTGGACAAGAGTTAAATCAATACACGCAGTTGTAAAATTCCCCTGTTGGCTTCTTGTTTGTAGGATCCCAGTCTTGGGAAAATCTGTGAAGTTTATTTAATTCTCCACATGTTTACCTGCTTCCACCTGTGCATCTATGGTCTTTCTCAGTAGCACCGTAAACTCCTTGTATTGCTCTTCACTCCAGTGCCTCTCCAAATGTGGGGTTCCATTGCAGAGCCTAGCTCATACGCTCAGTGGGAGGTACAGGGAGTGCGGAGATAGTGTTTGACACCCAACTGGAACTGCTAGTCCAGAACGAACCTAGAACCCACTGCCACTGAGTCGATTCCGACTCAGAGCCACCCTGTAGGAGAGAGTATGGCTTCCCAGACGGCCTTATCTTTCTCCTGCAGAGCTAGTGGGTTTGAACTGCTGACCTTTCAGTTGACAGTCCAATGCTTAATCCACTGCTCGCCCAGGGTTTCTGTTAGTACAGAAGATGGTACTGATGGATGTTTATGGATTGGTGTGCTGTGTTAGTAGCCAGTGCATCCTTGTGTTCTGATGAGTGGGTAGAGCTTGCAGGAACACACGAGAGCGGGAAGGTTGTGCTCTGGCCTAAGGAAGGAAAGTTCGCTGACAGGTTATGGGGGTGCTAAATATAGGTGAGGGGGTGGGGTTAGGAAGCCAGACAGAAGAGTCCAGACTTGACAAGAACATTAACCTTGAAAAAAGCATGAGAAGGTTTTGAGCAAAAGAAAGCAGGAAGGGTTTGATAGTAACACGGGATAGAGTGGAGAAAGGAGACATTAGCCTCACCAGAAGACTGTCAACTGCTAAATGAAATGTAGTGATTCAAGTCCATCATGAGTGGACATGAAGACAGACCTGGAAAAGCCCTGCCGAGTGTGGGTGTGCTGTGACACACATCGGGTCTCCCAGAGCCAGAAAACACTCGATGGCAACTGGTGTGGGGTTCAGTTTTGTATTTTAAAGAAGGTGTTGGGGAGAAAAGAATGAAGAGTAGCTGCAGGGTTTTCCTGGGAACAGCCTTCAGGACTCGGAGTTAGTGGGAGGTGATGCTCCAGAGCTCAGGTAACTGTGACAAAGATGGGGGACCCTGACTGGAGCTGTGGGCCTGGGAGACTGTGGAATGGAGACTGTGGTGTTAGACTTGAGCTTATCCTAATAGGTAAATAAGAAGTTGTTTACAACTTCAAATAACTGCACAATAAAACTCAGAACAGTTTGCTTTCGTAGGATTTTATGTCCGTGCGGGGCACCCTGGGTCTAGAATGTCCAGGAAGAGAGGAGGGAGCAGTCGTCACTGTAGCCGTGACAGTGGTGGCCTTCTCCAGAAGGTCCATGGTGAGGGGCACTGAGAGACAGAGCGGCTAAGGGGAGCAGGGGAGCGATGTCATCTGCAGTGCTGAGGGACATCATGTGTCAGCTAAGAGGCTGAGTGTGACTGTTGCCCTTGGTGGTCTGGGCAGCTAGCTGAGGTCTCCCACCACCTCGTCTGTCCAGCCTTTCCAGAGTGCCTCACAGAGGGGACCCTCCAGGTGCCTGCTAGGTCTGCGGAAGAGGCACTCCCTGACGTTCTGTGACTCAGGTCACTGTCCTGCTTGATCAGTTTATTAGAATAAACGCCGCAGCTGCTGTGGCTGTCATGGTATTGAGTCTACAAATCAACAAAAGTCACCCATTGGCTGGAAAGCTAACCCTCTCAGAGGCCTACCACCACACGGAAGAACCATGTGTGGTCATTTTAAGCCTTGCTGGTAAACTGACTAATGTCTTGGTTTTGGTTGCAGCGGAGATGAATCATTTCCACAGTAACCGGATCTACGATTACAACAGTGTCATCCGCATGTACCTGGAGCAGCAGGTGCACTTCTACGAGATGGTAAGTCTGCACGAGGAGAGGGCGTGTGCTCAGTGCATTAAGTTACTCCGTCTGTTTGAGTCCAAATACGCCAAAAGAGGTTAAATATCCAGACATTTTTCAGTCTTGTTTTGATAACATGCTTGTTCTTTTTTTTTAAAAAAAACCATGGGCTTAAAATTTTTTTTTAAAGTTTTCTTTTGGAGAAAGGCACTAGGTCCTGCTTTTCTGAGGCCCCAAGAGTCCTTATTGTGTGCCCCTCCCCCCCACTCCACCCCGAATCCTTCCCTGAATGAGATGGCCTCGTGCTCCACCGGGGGTGGGGGAAACCAGCGCCTGGCACCGCACAGCAAAGCAAAGGCCACTGTGTGTGCCTGAGGTCTTCATAGAGGACCAGAGGAAATTCACAAGGAAAGCAAGAGAGAGACCATACGTATTTTCATGCAGAAAACAGGAATGACTGCTTTAACCGCCATACCTCTGAATAAGGAATGTGTATAACTGGGTGCATAGGAAACACAGGTCCTTATAATATTTCAGTGGGACTCAGAAACCTGAAGAGCAGCTCTGTGACTTTAACTGAGCATCTGCTGGCTGCCTGGTTTCTGCGTCTGTCTCCGCTGTGTGTGGGGGTGGGTGGAGGTACTGTGCCCCCACTCACACCCTGGAACACATCCCCCTGGACTTGTTTTGTTGTTAAGTGCCGTCGAGTCAGTTCCGACCCATAGCGACCCTGTATAGGGTTTCCAAGGACACACTGGTGAGCTTGAACCATCAACCTTGCAGTTCAAACAGTTTTGTAGTTTGGTGCATTAATCCACAGTGCCACACCAGGACTCACCCTGGACTGGACACTGGGAAATGCCTGGAAGTGCCTGTATCCGATGGCAGGCTCCGAAACGGGGCTGAGATTTGGAACCGTGTGCTGCAGACAGTCGGCTTGGAGACTCACTTACAGGAAGAATTCATCTACAATGTTCTCCCGCCTTTCCTATATGTTCCTAGACTGCCCACTTCCGACCACGTGGTGCCGTTGTGTGTTAGCCCTTCACCATGAAGCAGACGGCAAATTCTACCTGGTGTGGTGCTGCAGGGCCAGCACTGCACTGCACCCACCAGCTGTGCCTCAGAAACCCGACACAGGGTCACTCTGGGTCGGAACCGACTCCATAGCAACAACAGCATGTGAGAAAACAACTAAAGGACAGCTCTTGAAATTCGGGGACTGTTGGATATGTTAGAATTGTTTTCAAGCTCACGTGAAGTGTAATTATTAGTGTCATTGAACCTAGAGTGCGTGCCATCCAGCCACTGTCTGCGTGAACAGGAGTGTGAGTACTTTAGGGCCAGGGTCACTTTCCTATAAAATGCTGGGCATTGACATTTATGTGTCTGTTCAGATGGCAGACATTCAGTGAATGATGATGTTAAACACGGTTGCAGATGTGTTAGGTCCAAGGATCAGGGTGCTTGTAACCCGGGAGCGCTCTGCTGGAGGCGTGCATTTATGAACGCACATGAGGACCCAGCAGGGACTGATGAGGACGCGTGGCCTCCAGATCTGGCCTAGGAGATGTGGGTTTCTAAGAAGGAACAGCCTTGGAGGCCTTGATGGCCAAACATCATCCCTCGTACTTGGGACGTACTGTCAGGAGGAACCAGTCACTGGAGAAGGATATCATGTTTGATAAGATGGAGGGTCAGAGAAAAAGAGGAAGACCCCCAACGAGAAGGATTGGCCAAGTGGCAGCATCAATGGACTCAAGTGTGGCAACAATAGTGAAGTTGGCCCAGGGTCAGGCAATGTTTCGTTCTGCTGTGCATAGGTTCATTATGAGTCAGTACCGACTCGATGGCACCTGACAACAACAACAAGGGATGGGAGACCTAGGTATGCACACAACCTCACCAGGCCAACTCACTTGAAGAGACAAAAGTCTTGTCATTCCGCTGACAACAGAGGCAGAGAGAGGCCGGGCTCCAGAGGCGGGGTCATGCTTAGAAAACCTCACAAAGGGGTAGACACAGCACCATTGTTGGCAGCACACTCTATGATTTTGGAAGGTCTGGCCAGCAGCCGCAAGGACCTGTCCCAGGCTATCCCCAAGGACAGGACCTGAACTGGGGCAGGGGCGGTAGGGTAGGAAAAGAGCAGTTTTAAAGCATTTGAACCTTTGGTCATGCCCAGGTCCTGGGAGCTGTAGCTTACAGATGAGGATTGGTGCGTGGGGCGGAACCTGGGTCCTGGGAGTGTGGATCGCAGACGAGGACCCGTGTGCGGGGCGGCATCTAGGTCCTGGGAATGTAGGAATCTAGGACCTGGGAGCTGTAAATCGCAAACACTGGGGCGCGCGGGGCGACTTCTCACAGGCTCTGTCTTCTCTCCAGATTGCGGAGAAGCTGAGGCAGGCCCTCGGCCGATTTCCGGAAATGTAGACAAGATGAAGCGTGAAGAAACGCCCAAGCGCTTCTTTCTGACTTGGGCACTGTGATTTCAAGTTGATTTTTTTTACCCCCTATCATCAGAAAAAATGGAAAAGAAAGAAGCAAACCAAAAGAAACAGAATTGTGTTTATGGTAATGAGCGGCCAGCGTAGCACCTCCCTCCGGGGACGGCACTCTTATCCTCGCCCATAGGCACAATGAAAACCAAGGGGAACGGTGTCTATTTTTGGAACCTAGTTACAATGATCAGAATTTTTGATGGAAAATTTAGTATTTTACAGAGAATCCTAATTTATAACACCCCCCCCCACTCCCTGCCATTTCCCAGTTCTTACCCAATGTCAAATTCTTACTAATTACTTTTCTTAAAAGTATGAACTATGCCAGAATAAAAAATATATATGTTTGTATATTTTTATAACTGTCAGTCCTTTGGGGATTCTATTGAGGAAAATCAGCCCATTTTTCATTCCCTTCCGTATTTATGATTCAAGGGCTGACGCTTTCCACATACTGCGGGGCTGTGCATGCCCAACTGTCTCCTTGTGTGGGACATGGTATCCTGAGGTCAAAGCTGATGACCCCTTGTCCTAATTACTCTCTGTCACCTTGCCACCTCAGGCTGACCTTGGATGTTTTGTTCTCACATGAGTAGAGAGCCCTGGTTAAGTGCTCAGCTGCTAATGGAAAGGCCAGCGGTTCCAGACCACCAGCTGCTGACTCCGTGGGAGAAAGATGTGGCTGTCTGCTTCTATAAAGATCATTGTTGTTAAGTGCTGTCAAGCCAGTTCCAACTCACAGCGACCCTGTAACGGGTTTCCAGCCTTGCGGTTCACACTGACCTACACTACTACACCAGGACTCTTGGAGACCCTGTGGGGCAGTTCTCTGTCTGTAGGCACTGTGAGTCAAAATCAACTGACTGGCAGTAGGTTTTTATGGGGTTCTCCCATGAGGACCAGGGCTTCCTCTGTCTGCACTTCAGGCCCCACCAGGCGAGCACCGATGTCGTTAGAGTAAGTCTGAACCACTGAGGTCCATCCGTCCCACAGGAGAGAGGCCGTGCGGAGCATGTGCTTTAGAACTGGATTGGAGGAGCAGGTCAGCTGCTTGTCTGAAACCTCTCCCCTCCCCACTGAAAGGAATATGCAGTGGGCTCAGGGCCTCTGAGTTCAGGGAAAAGCATGTTGTGCTGATCTTTCTGACTTGGTCCTAAATTCCGACGATTTCCCTGGTTACTAGTAACTTCAGCGAACGCCACAAAGCACACAGAATTTTAGCCACCTGTCAGCTTTCTGTCGAAACCCCCAAGTGTCCACATGCCATTGTCCTTGCAGATGGACCGCAGCTGCCTTACTACATAATCTCACTGCTTCCTCTCCCAGGACCCTGTCATTATGTCAAACAAAATGGAGCCTGCAGGCCAGAACACAGGATGAAACCAAAACATACGCAATGAGGCAATGAAATGGACCTGAAGATGGAAGGCCTCGCTCCGCTATGTCAGGGGTTTGTTAGCCTTTTATAAGTAGTTTTCCCCACTTGATTTTTCTTTTATAAGACCCCATAGAACAGTGTTTATGATATGTACAAATTGTAAAGAATGTATAAATGTTTTACACAAACTTACGCTCATGTAGAAGCCAACGTATAAATAAAATTTTTTTAAAAAAAAAAAAACTGTAAATTCTCAAAGCACTTTTCCAAGGCAGTTTTTGGTGTTTTTGTGTGATTTTTCTTGTTAATTTCTTCTTACTGTTAGCTGCTGAAAATAATTAATTTTTCCCTAAAAGGCATTTTGATTGATGTGAATTAATAATGTTGTCAGATAAGCACTGGACTGTGTCCCACAAGGTCGGAAGTTCAAACTCACCAGCCATTCCATGGGAGGACGATGAGGCTGGCTGCTCCTGTAAAGATTCACAGTCTTGGAAACCCTAGACAGGGTTGTTGTGGGTCAGAACCAACCCCACGGTGGTGTGTAAGTCAGAGTTACCAAGCCTAGAAACACATCACAATCCCCCCCCCACCCCCCCCGGGAGCTATGAAAAACAAACACCAGCGCCCAGTGTGTACTTGCAGATAGTTGTTGTTAAGTGCTGCTGAGTTGGTTCCAACCCAGAGTGACCCTGTATAGGGTTTCCAAGAAGTGGTTGATGAACTGGAATCCCCGACCTTGTGGTCCAGTGCATTAACCTGCAGTGTCACACCAGAACCTCCAGATGGTCTGAAGGAATTGCGCTAAGCAAAAGGTCAGGAAAACAGCTGAGGAATCTGTAATACTCCAAGCAATGGCAGCAGACGCGGAACCAGGAAGAACAATGGGAATTTGAAAGAAAATAATAGAAGAGCTATTCGATGTTGATACTCCCAAGAATCTCCAAGTGACATTTCTAACTTTTTATTGTGAATTAGGTGAAGGTGTGCAGACAAGATCATCAGCTCTACGTTCAACAAATCCTACACTTTGTTTCATCTCAATGATTACAATCCCCTCCATGCAACAAGAGTATCCTGCTGCTTCCCTGTGGTTCCTGTTTGAATTCCATCCACCTTCCAATCCCTTCTCAACTTTGTCCTTAGGAAAATGTTGTTCATTTGATTTTGAATGACCATTCCATGCTAAGTATATCTTACCAGTATGGTTGTCCTCCTGTAAAAACCATGTATGTACCTTGTCTGTCTTGTCCTGGTTTCACAAGGGAGAAAGGAAATTAACTTCAAAGTTAGCCCAAGGCCAAATCCTATGAAGCAGAGGTCAGACATAATTCCACCCTGCTACCCCCAGACTGCAAAGCCGTTTGAACTGCAAGGTCGGCGGTTCAAGCTCACCAGCTGCTCCTCGGAAACCCTAAACTGGGTTGCTGTGGGTCGGAACCGACTCAATAGCAGTTAACAACAACAACCTCCTTTAAAAGGAGCTCTGATAGCGTAGTGGTTATAAATCGGACTGCTAGCCTGAAAGTCGTCAGTTCTAAACTGCCAATGGTTCCGCAAGAGAAAGATGAGGAGTTCTCCTCTGGTAGCCTAGTGGTTCTGGTAACATGTTGTTGTTATGTGCCATGGAGTCGGTTCCAACTCATAGTGACCCTGGACAGGGTTTCCGAGGCTGTAAATCTTTACGGGGAGCAGAAAGCCTCATCTTTCTCCCGCAGAACAGCTGGTGGTTTTGAACTGCTGACCTTGCGGCTCACAGCCCAATTCGTAACCACTACGCTACCAGAGCTCCTTAGTGGCACTGTGGGCTAATGAGTCAGTGGTTCTGGTAGCGTAGTGGTTACAAATTGGGCTGCTAACCTCAGGTTGGCAGTTTGAAACTACCAGCTGTTCTGTGGGAGAAAGATGAGGCTTTCTGCTCCTGTAAAGATTTACAGCCTCGGGAACCCTGTGCCAACAACAGCCTTCTTTAACGGAGTCCTGGTGTGGCACTGTGGGTTAATGTGCTGCACTGCAAAGTCAGTTTGAACTGCAAAGGTCCACAGTTCACGCTTACCAGCTGCTCCTAAGCTCTTAGAAAACCCTATACAGGGTCACTATGGGTCGGAACCAACTCACTGGCACTTAACAATAACAGTAACAATCCCTTCTTTAGCCTATTGTGACACCAGCCATCCTGCCCACAGCACTCCCTGGGTTGGATAATCCATTGTGATGACCACACAGAACTCAAAATACTCACAATTAGGGGGTTTATTAGGGAAATGAACAGGGTACAATTCAGGATCAGAAACCACTGGATGCAGCAGCTCTCCAGTGGGGGCGCCATACTGCAGGCACGCCTCACCCTTGTCTTCAGCCTCTCAGCCATGTGGCCCCTTGGTCTCTGTCCTGCCCTAGTGAGTGACTCTAAGCTCTTTAGTGAGGCTGCACATGCCCTAAGGGCAGGGCACATTCTTCAAGCCAGTCTCCAGCCCACAGACGCTCAGCTTACTCGGTCCCATAGGCCTAGAGTCTGATGCTGCTCTGCCCATGCCACCGCCTCAGCTGTTGCCTCATTGTCTCACACTCCACTCATGCTTTTCCTTATTGATGGTCCTGGGATCTTCCATCTCTGCTTCTGAGATGACTTCTTTTAAATGTAGCTAGAGGGCAAACTGTATGGTCTCACCCAATCACACATACCACCTCTCATTTCAGACTGTGTAAAACGGAGACACCATGCAATGTGGGGCCAAATGTTTCCCAGTTGTGGTGGAACTGATCATAGCTCCTGGGACACAGGAATTGCCACAGTTTGGAAGTAGTGCTTTGTGAAGGTGTCATCAAGTTCGTTCCGACCCATAGCCGCCTTTCCAAGAAGAGGCTGGTGGGCTTGAACCACTGACCTTGTGGTTCAAGCCAACTTTGCAGTCCAGTGCATTAACCCACAGCACCACACCAGTGCTAACACCAACATATCACCTAGTACAGTCTTCATCTCTCCACACCGGACTTCTCCCACCGGTAGTGGCAGAAAATGCGAACGGGCCTTTTGAATTGCTTCCAGCCCTGTGGTCTTCCCGGTGTTGGGGCTCAGGCCTGTGGGTCTGGCTGTCACCAGTTATAGGACAGAGGAGGATGGGTCCCAGAACTCTGCTTTCATCTCTCTCAAACCTGCCAATTGAAGACCAGGAACTGGCTTCCAGGCCGCCGATTCTGTTCCGGGCACGTAAGTAAGGAGGGGATGCTGGCAAAGAGCAGATGGCAGGGGAAGAGAGCAGAGAGCCCTGATTTTTCCCCACTTGGTTGTTGTTAAGTGCCATCAAGTCAGTTCTGACTCACAGCAGCCCTGCATAGGATATTCAAGGAGTAATTGGTGGGTTTGAAGTGCTGACCCTGCAGTGCCCCACGGGGATCCCACATAGTGCTTCTCTGTCCCCAGGCCATTGACTCTCATTGACTCCACAGCACTTAGCTGCCAACTGTCTCCTTCCATAAAAATCGTATCTCTGTTAAATAAATGAGGGAACGAAAAGTCCGCCACTCATGGGCTCCAAGCCTCATAGCCCCTG